ACTCCTTCCATACTGTCATGGTTTGAGCCTGGCACAATGCCAGTGCCCCCATGAGAATACCTCTCTCTGGTATCTGCTGTGAGATGTGATGTGACCAGGAATAAGAACCGCAGGCTCTTGCTTAAAAAAGAAAGAAAAAGTTTATTAACTAGACTACAAGTGAAAGGAAAAAAAAAAAAAACACACAAGGAAAATGAAAACCTTACAACAGCGTTCTCTTTCTCCTCCCACCAAATTCCCAATACCATACATCTTCCAAAATCACCAACTCTTAGTCTGGTACCACCCTCCAGAACACCCAATTCTCAGTTCATCCAAAAGGGAACAGTCCTTCTTGTAGCCATGGTATCTTCTTCCTTTCCATGTTCAGTGCTCTCACCACCAACCTTGGAATCAAGCTGTCTCGAGGGCTGTCTTTCAAGGATGCATCGTCCCACTCCAAAAGGCACAGTCTCTCCTTTCGGGACATCTGTCCCCCCCATATTTTTAGCACCCCCTGGGGCCGAGGAGTATCCACACTGCACTCCTCCTGATTCTGAGGCCCGGGCTTGTTGTGATGTGTTCTTAAGTTCCCCAGTTTTCTCCCCTATTTTATGTATAATCCCCCTTTTTGTTCATTACAAAATGGTTCCTCCCCTCACAGTTTTCCCGCCACTGTGGCCCTGACAGTTAAGTTGCCATGGTTACCCCCTTCCCCCTCCGCTGCCAATCTCATATGTTATGTAACTTCCCCTCCCCTATATCACCTTATAAGTAAGTTTTTCCTCCTCCCTGGGCCCAGTTAATCACCCCCCACTCCTCCCAGCTTTCTAGAACTTTCCTCTCTCTGGGGGTCGTGGTTGGCTGGCGTCCCGGGGCCCCTCCTTTGCTTTATGTTTATTTGTTATGTCCTCATGCCAGTTACGTTATGCACCTCCCTACTTGCTCACCGATTGGTTGGTGGGGTTTCCCTCCTTTCTCCACCACTTCCCTTTAAAACCTTGTTGCTCCCCCTGTTCTGTGCCATTTGCTGTGGGTTCCTTCATCAGTTGGTTGCCCTCTGCGGCTGTGTTTCTTCAATAAACCGACGTGTTACCCCCAGCAAGTGGTCGCCTCCTCTTTCGTCACGTCCAGCGCTATATCCAAGTCCGCAATCCAACCCAGCCCGAGGCCACGACGCCAAGGGGGGTTGGCCTCCTGTCTGCGTAGGGGCGTCGGCCACCGTACCCCTTCGAGCTAGCCGGACTTAGGGCTGCGTACGCCCTCGCGCACGGGCTCCCCCTCGAATACAGTCTCTGCATTGCACGGAAACAGTCCATAGCTATACAAAAAGCGTCCAGCAACATTGCTACTCCATTACCCTTTCCACCCCCTGGGGTTCTTCTTTCTCTCTCTCTTGCTCAGACCTTCCTCTCCTTTACTCAGCTCCTTCTTCATCTTCTAAATTCATATCTTCTCCAGGTTAAGGTTGATGCTCTGCTAAGTTTTCATTATCCACAAAAGAGTTAAAGGCCCTTACACTTGGCTGGACACCTTGCAGCAGTTTCCCCCCCACCCCAGACCTTCTCCCTGCTGCAGGCACATGTTTATGGAATTTCAAGGTAACAAGCACAGGCTGCCTTCTCTTTCTCTGTCTCCTGACGGGGGGGAAAGAGGGGCAGGTAGAATACCTCTCGTGCTGCTCCATTCCTTCCATTCCTCCACCCTTGGGTCCCTCAGGGTCAGGCCTACCTCCCCCAGGCCTCATGGCTTTTCCCCTCCCTCACCCAGCAGCAGACAGCTGGGCAGGGGAGAGCTCTGACCTCTTTCACCTCAGGAACCCAAGAGAGCTCCCAGGTGGGCAGCTCTGGTTTTTAACCCCTGTATTTTCTCAGAGGCAGATCTAATTTTCAGTGGTCGTACCAATTTAACCCTTGTATTTTCTCAGAGGCGGATCTAATTTTCAGTGGTCGTACCAACTGCCAATCTTAAAATCTGAGCATCCATTGGTGGTTTGGTGGTAGTGACCATGGCATCCCAGAAATCTCATTTCCGGTAAAGACCACACATACACAGAGGGCCTTCTCTATGAGTTAGTATTGCTTATCTCCAAAATAGGCACTATTTTGACTAGGTCAAGTGGCGCCATTCGATAAAATATCAATTTTTCAAACACTTGTATTGGGAAATCTATCCTCCTTTTCTAACTTCCCAGAGCAGTCTTTTCCTTGGCCTAATTTTCAACTCATCCTTACATTTATAGATTTTTCTAGCGCTGTTACTTTCTGCTCAACATTTTCATAGCTGCTGAGTGGAGTAATATTAAAGGACAGGTCACCCTGCATAGCTGTTTCTAAGGAACATTTCAAGACAGGGTTGGATGCATTTCTTTTCTATTTCCAGCCAATTACTTAATCAACATACCTACTAGAGAAAAATAATGTGCAAAGTAAAATGGGGCATGCTATAATATCTCACTGTTTTTAAAACCCCTATATGTCATTTCATAGCATTTTAATTTTTTCATGCTTTGTAATCACTACTTTCTTGACACCCACTGTACATTGACTAATACAATCACTAAAAATCCATCTCAGAATTTCCTAATAATGTCTAAATTTATTTGCAATCTATGTCTGAATAATTAAAATGAAAATATTGCCTGGTCTGCATTCTTAACCAATACTTGCATGTGGAAAATATCAGTAATGCAAAAAGAAATGTTTAATTTCAGTATTTCATTTTCTGTTGTGTTGTTAGCTGTAGCATTATTAATAGCACTAAAGTTACTTAAATAAATATTTTATCATTTTACCAGGAAGGTAAAATTTATACATCTATATACAATCAGTAATAGAGAAATTCTTTGCACCCACATTTAACTGCTGAGCATGCAGAATTGTGTGCTTGACAAGTCCAGCTCCTGCCTCAGCATCCATGCAATTCTTCATTTTAATTAGATCTCTTGGCAAAGATGCAGACCAAAACCTCATAAGTCTCCTTTGACTGTTTTAGATGAATCAGCCTTGCTGTGATACAGTGCACACCTACACGCTCACATGCTTCTTAGCTGTCTTCACAGGATAGCAGGAATTAAATTAAAAAGTCACATGGCCACCTTACACACCAGAAATAATGGAAAGTTTGGCGTTTTCACACTTATTTCCACACATATTTCCCTCTTACATCTTCCCAGTGCTCCAAGTACTTAACTAGGGATTTCTTGCAAGAACTTAATCTGATCCTATGAAAAGTGGAGTGAAAATCACACTAGAGTGGCTCCGATAGCTGTACAGATTTTATCTAGAAGTAAAGAAATGTGATCCAAGTAATTTCATCCTGGGAAATAAAGACTGCATTACCCAAAGTGTGGTTGTCCTGCATGGGTCCTTCCTGTGGGGTCATTCCTTCAGGAACAGACTGCTCCAGTTAGGGTCCCCTGTGAGCCACAGTCACTACCAGGAGCCTGGTCCTGAATGACTCTGCATGGATGACAGATAGATGATCAGCTCAGTCGCTGTACTGGACTGAGACAGGATCTGTTCTTTGCTTTCTTAATGTTTAGTTCATTGCATCAAAATGTATTCAATTCTTAATACTGTTGGTCATTAAACTATCCATAAGGAAATGTTTTTTGAAAGCATACTGACATGTGGACTTTTTTTAATATGCCAGTCTATTCAAGTTTTAATAAGTACAGAAATTCAGGAAGAGTACGTATAAAAGGCTTTTTTGTTTGAATTACATTGCAGCTTTGCAGAGTATGAGAGGTTTATGCTTAAACACTGTTTACAAATAGAACAACAGACTTTAATTTCTTCTGGTGTGATTTCAATTTGGCACAGTACAGCCTGAGCTCTCCTTACTGACCAAACCATTATTGTTTCTCTGTTATTATGGAAATACCTTGATCTCCAGTTGATAAAAGTAATAGAGACCATAATGGGGTCATAATGGGTCAAATCAAAGGTCAACCTATTCCAGCATGTGCTAGTAATAAAACACTTAGAAAAGCAAATATGAGCAGCGCAATGCTACAGTCCCCAAGATACCCACTTCACTTCCCATGATTTAATGTTCTGCTGATTTTTGGGCCACAGAGGGATTGGTGGTAGTTAATAACCATCAGTGGGGTGTTTCTGACACAAACTTACTGTGTTCTTTTTGATGTCATGGAATCATATGGCCTCTGCAGCATCCCATGGTAAAGAAATTCAGCTGCATAGGAAGAAGTTTGTGTTTTGTCTGTAGCATACTAGTTCTAGTGGAGCTCCTTATTATGTACTGCACAAGACAATAATCAGCTGAGGCCGATTTCCTCAAACTCCTTCTGTTTCTAAAAACTGTTACCTGTGATCCTCTCCATCATCTCTTCTGAAGACCATTCATCCCTACAGTTACAGATGTCTTTCCTGCTGTTCTTTGTACATTTTCCTTAAATTATTTTTCTAGTTTCTTTTATTTTTTTTAGTCATTTGTTAGTCCTAGCATTTGACTTGCCCATTACTGTGCACATCATAGCAGTAAAGCTTTTTCCCATTTATCCCATTTATTTATATTTAGTTGTAGATATCATTTGACTGTTTTTGTGACCTATCCACAACTCTTTACAGTGACCCTTCATTTATACTATGCTGAATATCTTAGTGTCAAGAGATATTGTCAGCTCATATTTTAATTGTTTTGCAGATCAGGTATAACTGTCTTGTTTAAAAAAAAAAAAAAAAAAGGAGTTAGGATCTATTTGGGCAGTTTCTCCATGATACCGGCTGTGCTGAGATGCAGTAGCTAATATTTCAGGAGCTATATTTTTCCTCCTTTCTTGTGAATTGTTTTATGGTATCAGAAACACAGAGTAAATCCTCTATTTAACTTCAAAATCAAAGCCCTTATGGCTGAGCAAGGTGTGAATAAGCACCTGTTTGTCCAGCTGGCCTGGACACCATCTGCACCATGTCAGGACAAAACAATGAATCTGCCCACAGAAGCTGGAGTATCTTACCAGAGCTACCTGCTCATTCTGTAGGACTTGAGAGACCAGTTCCTGGGAGACTTCCTACACACCAGAGCACACTGGCTGGCACAGGTCCAAATTTTTTATGAGTGTAAAGGTGAGCAAATCCTGAGGATACCTGTCTGCGAGGGAAATGCAAGGCCCCTCCTAATTACTTACCCATTGCTTTTCACCAGCCCCAGAAGGTTAAACTGAACTGTAATTTCAAACCTGTAAACTAGTTTGGAGGGTACTTCAACATCATTTTGTATGAAAGATGCTCTGCTAGAGGCAGTAACGCTATACTTTGTTTAATGTTTGCCCTGAATTATATTAAACAAACTCTGGAAGGAATGATCAAAGGGCTGAGAATGTGGGAAAAAATAAGAGTATAAGTAATGAAACATATGATGTATAGATCAGCTCTGGGTTGGGGGAAAATTGTATCACCTGGAACTCAAGAGTGAAAATTAGACACAGAAGCAATCAGTAAATGTGAAACACTGAGCAATCCTATACTTACATCTTCTCTTTATAATTTCTTATTTCTTATTGTCAGTTTCTCAAAATTTTCTTTTTTCATTTTATATGTCATAGTTTTGTTTCTCCTTTTTGATGACACCTTTTATTTTCTCTCATCTTGAAAATGCCTTTTTTCAAAATTTTATTGTCACTACTTGTCCCACAAACATTTTTATGCCTCAATTAAATGACTGTGCAAGGTTAAGTAATAAAAATACATTCTATTTCCCTGTATTTATGATATTTCCTCTCTCTGATAGTTCTCTTGTCAATTAAATTTAAGCATTTGAACAGCTCATTGCAATTTTATCTACACATCTGTAGTTGATAGCACAGTGGCAAAATGTTACTTCTAAATTTCAGAGGAAAAGTGTTCAAAGAATTTTAGTATATAGCAGTCTTCTTTTTAGTTAGCATACACAAAGCTCTAATGTGCCTTATTATAAGATTCTACAACATGCCTACAAAATCTCTGTACATGAAAACTCACTGGTCTGAGAAGGAACTTCAAGGGGATTGAAAACTGTCACAGCTAGCCTTGAGTCAGCAGTGGCAGAATGTCTGCAACTGTACCAGTAATTGCCCAAAGACAGTTATATTCTTCCCCCTTTTCATCATCTAAAAATAGAGCAGTACCACATCACAAAATAATTACTGAGTCTAGAGGGTAAAGATCTTGTTGTTGCCTGAGAGATAGAAAATTTGCAAATACTTGAGTGGAATACCACTGGCTGAAATTTGGGCTTAACCAAATCAGTAATTTTTTGATTGGGACCAAAAAATCAGTTACCAGTTCAAATCTTAAGAAATAATCCATTCTTGCTGATACAATTCCATCAAAGGTCATTTTACTTATTCTGTGCCTTTAGCAACAAATCTTCAATGCAGTTTAGCTCTTCAGTCTTTACAAGATGCTATTCTTTTCCTCTCAAGCTCACATTTTCCTACATTTTGCAAATAAATAAAATTCCTCATGTTCTTACTTACTATTTTCTCACTTTATCTGCAATATAAACAAAGTGAGTCAAAACAATTTTCCTGCATAAAAGTGCTAGGTACCTACCTTGGGAGGGAGTGACTTGACCTGCATTGCTTTTGTAGAGCGCTGACAAGCTTCCTTCTGTAGATTAACACTTCATTCTGTATAAAATATGTCATAAAATATGTTAAAAGTATATTCTTGACATATTTGGTTCTTTTATTTCCAGACACAGATCTAAAAGATTGTTTTAAATCTAAAAGTAGGTGAAAATAAAAATAAAATAATGTCATGTTACTCAACTGTAGTTGATTCTGCATCACTAAAATCAATAGGAATATGGTTATTACTTTTTAGAATTTGCCCTTAGCACTAATGTCTGACCTCTGCTCTTTTTGTATTTTATTAAAACATATTCAAAATCAAATCAGTACCCTAAATTTCTTTTTCAAACAAGATGATTTTAAACTGGGTTTACTGAAATAACAAAGGTCAAGACACAGGTTTATGCTACAAAATAGGAGAGAGATTCAAAAAATATAAACTTGCTTTTTAGTATGAAGTTTAGGTCTCAACTTCTCATATCAAATTTTCATCAAATTATATAGCAGAGAAGGTCAGCTTAGTTGTTTCTTTACAGAAACTTCAAGTGCATCATCTGGTATTTCTAATCTCTCTACTATTAAAAACTTTCCTCTGGGCATCAAGCAATGCTTCATTTTTTTTTTGGTTTCTTGTTTTTTGTTTTTTTTTTTTTTTTTTTAAATAACAATTATTTATTGAGAAGACCCTTCCCTCCTCATTTTTACAGTCATCTTTTTAATGTGCAATTCACCATTACTTTCTCAATAAGGGATATTTTAGGCTCAAACCCCCATAAAATATATTTTAATAATAAGTATGAATAATAAAACCTCTAAGATCTGACATTTTTTTTCAAATGTCGGTGAACATATTCTTTCTTTCACTAGCAGAAAGGAACAACCCAAAGCAGAAACAGGCAAAAATTCTAAGCATATATCTCAACTGCATATTGCTTGTCATCTGAATGTCATAAATAATATGACATTGCTTTCACTGTTTTCTAATCCCTGTTGTGGGGGAGTGTCCCTTCTGTGCTACTTACCAGTGCACAAACTTTCTTGTGCAATGCATTGGAGGAAGATCCCATGACTTCTTGGACATGTAGAAACAGAAGTTTTTTCATATTCTTCTTTTCAGAATCATGATGCTAGTCTTCCAGTTTCCATTCTGCCAGCATCAAGATTTAAAGAAAGGAAGAAAAAACCTTGTTGTGACAGACCCAACATCAACATGGGTCAATGACAGACATAGCTGGTTTTGAGGTAGTCCATTCTATGAGGTTTCTCCTTCTGCATACATAGCTAAAAAGAAAACAAGGTCCTTGCACAACCTGATAGCCGAAATCCAATCCATATGAGAAAACCTTCCACTAAGCATAGCTTCCACTCATGGAAACCTCTTTTTGAACATTGGTGTAATTTTATGCAATCGTAGACTGTTTGCTAAGTACATGGCTGCAGTCTTGCCACATGTTTCAGAATCATATTTTTCAGAATGCAAATAGGGGGAAGGCTCACATAGTGAATTTGTGGTTATATTTTGTAGTTTATACTGTCATTGTGCTCTTGTTCTTTAAGCCCAGTGATTCTATTTTCTAAATAAAATCATCCCCTAATACAAAGATAAACTTTGAATAAAGGTGTATGCAAACTCTTTGGGAAGGTTTACTTGCCACAAGAACTATTTTTGAGAACTGAGCTGAAAGTTAGAGGTTGGGGTATTACAGGACTGTGTAAAATAATGCAGTCATTTTCTTGATATTTTCTTGCTAAAAAGGAAAGCTGGAATTTTATTCTAAACTTAGCTATATGAACCTAATTAGTTAGTCTTCTTCTCTAAAATATTTTACCTCATCATAACATAATGCTATGATATTTCTAAGATAATGCCCTCTTTGTCTGCAATCCCAGAGGTATTTCAGAAATAACTTCTGTTGTGTTTTCACATACCAGGTTGCCACCAGTGTTTTCTCACATATAGAAGCATACTATTTTATCCCCTTTTCATTCACCCAGTTTTCCTGCTTAATCCTGCCAACCAGTCTTCACAATATAATTGCTGTCTTGCTATCATGTTCTGACACTTTATCTGCTTCAAATTCTTACATACATTCCCAAGTTTCCATACTGTATCAGACTGTTATCACACTGAAATGGCACATGGCACTTGAAGACATTTAAAAAGTGTATAATTTTATTTAACTATGTTCAAAATTCTGTATGCGTTGCAATCTATATGTTTGAATTCAGAACAAGACTTCTGAAGATGATTTATGAAATTCAATTATAAATAAATGTAATGGAAAGTAGGACAGGATTCAGGTAATCTTATACTTACTTAACCTGAAAGTTTGGAAACCCCATCAAACAATCTCCTGGCAGTCCAGAAGTGCAGCTTGCCTCTGCAGGTGCCTAACTTTGCTAGCTAGAGGGTTCTCAATCTGACAGAACTTTTGAATTTTCCACATATTTTCAGAGTGGACAAGACTATTTTCATTCTTATGACAACCTCTTTCCATGGGTCTTGCAATTCATGCAGAGATAAATCTGACTTTTCCCAAGTATCCAAAGAATTCCTTCCCAATTATGCATGGTCACAAATGCATTTGTAACATATATTGCTTGTCTCTGTTGTCTCTGCTGTCTAACTATACCTAGAAATTTCTGTGGATATTTTCCACAACTGTCCAAGTCCCCAGCCTTAGTATTTAACCTTTACAAATGCATAAAGATATAGCTTTAAAAGGCCAAATTTTAATTCCCAAGTAAAATTAATTTCACTGAAGTGAATATTACTTTTAATATGGATGCCTCAGTGTAAATTTTTCATATTGTCCTCTACTGCAAACTATCTACTTTTTTTCTAAAACAGAACAGTAAAAGAGGTATAGCTTAAACACGGTTTGGTGTTCTAATGCCATTCAATTAAACAGTCCACCCTTGTTCCTTGTTTCTCATGCTCCTCCTTGTTCATTGCTGGTTTGTGTTGAGCTTTACATCACCAAGACACCCCAAAGTCCTTTTCCTGCAGGACTGCTCTCATTCTGCTCCAGCCTCCAGCCATGTCTGGGATTGCCATTGTCCAGGTGTAGGACCCGTCATGATTTTCAGCCCTTCATTAGTTTTCATAGTCCCACTGAGCACCACTGTCCAACCTCCAAAATCCCAGATCTCAAGATCTCAACATTCCTGGTCAGAAGCCCTCAGTTTGGCTGTGGATTCTTGACAGCCCATCAGTAATTTAGTGTGACTGATGAGGCTTTGATTTTGTCCTGGTCTTACATTTGTGTGTCAGGTCTGCGTGTCTATGTTTTCTTTCTTATGCCCTTTATATTATCTGCATTTGCATAGAAAAAGTCCTTAATCAGATAATCTTAGCAAAGGAAAAACAGATTTTCCATTCACAGAATAGCCTGAGTTGGAAGGGACCCAGAAGGACCATTTGGTCCATCTCTAAAGTGAATGGCCCTTATGGGGATTGGATCCTTGACCACCCTGCCTTACCCAAATGAGCTAATCTTAGGGTCAGGTCCTGCTGGGGGAACTCAAATACAGTGAGTAGTGCAAAACCTGTAATAAAAGACAGAAGTACTGAGCTACTTGATTTGGTATTGTTGGATTATAGGTACGCTCCTCAACTAGTAATGCAGTAACAATGCAAGGGAACATACTGCAATTATCCAAAGAAATGTAGAGATTTGCTTTGTTGGTTTTTGTTTAAATATAGCTCAGTGTAAGTCAGTGAATTGAGCTATTTTTGTAGCAATTCAGAAACAGGTAGTTCTACCACCAAGGCTTCTGTAAGCCACAAAGGCACAATGTTCAACACATGGGGTTTGTAGCACCCTCCTTTTTCCCCTAAGGCAAACTCTGTCAAAGTTGTTGATCTAAGATATGGGTCAGTTAACAAGCTTGTATCAGAACACTGCAGAGCCAACTGGGTTCAGAAAGAATCGATACTTCTTCTAGATAACAGGAGTCAAGGCCAAGTCATACATTAAACCAAACAATTTAAACATAAATTTCAATGTACTGCCTGACAGGATGCCAATAAATGTGCTTTAAAAGCAAAGGTATATAGCTTGCTCATATAATTAGGAATAAAGTACCAATAAACTAAAGGCACTTCTTAAAAGCACTGAATATATCTTAAAGCAGCAATTGACAAAAGCACTTGGGGGAAACAGAAGCACAGGCAGAACCTACTTAACATCAGCTGAAGATCAGACTTTGCAGGCAGCTTTCAGAATCCCACAGGTTTGGTTGCAAAGCCTTATTATCTCCAAGTCAGGTATAGATCAATACTAGCAACATTTGCAAGACTGAAGCAGGTCACATATAGGAAAGAAGATGGTATCATTTTAATGAGGAAATAAAAGATCACAACCAGGATCCTTACAAAGGAGACAGAAAAGTCATTCTCTGTACAGCAGATTTAATGGTTGTCTCCTAATGAATGCTGTGAATGTATGACAGAGGTTTAGTTTCCCCTGGAACTAAAATATTATGGAGTTTTTTAAGCATTCAAGTGTTCTCTGAGAATTAAAAATGAGAAAAATTCAGTGAATTCTATCAGTATTTTGCCCTAGTATATCTATATTAAATGAAAACCAAATATAAACAGTTATCAGGGCAGAAGAAGAACAAAACCTCCCTAAAACTGATGGCCAGTCCACAGGATGATATGACTTTGTAGGTCTGATTGTCCTGCACCTTTTCTTATTGAGGAATGAAGGGAAAGAGTAAGTCCTAGTACAGAGCAAATCAAAGCAGAGCAGCCTGCTGCTGATCTCAGCAGAAGAAGGCAGATGACTCATTTGAGACGAATATATCTGCTGCTGCTCATTCACAAAGTATCCTGCAGTGGTAGAATTGCTTATAAGAGGTACAGAAAATTCTATGAATCAATGAGTACAAAAAATAATTTTCAAGCAAAAGGGTTTTTTTCAAAGTTCAAAGGTTTTTAATGAAAAAAAGAAAGCCTGTTTTATTCCCTTAGCATGCCCTAATATTTAAATACTTTAAAAATGCAAAGATAATTGTTTCTGGTTTACCTTACCTGTGGGAGATTTATCACCAGTATTGGTGATGACAAGGAACAACCCAATAAGCTAATGATAACAGATTTAGTTCCAAAGGGATTTGTCCAATTAGGTCTCAAATGCACTGGGGTGATCACATGAGAGCTTTCAATAAAAACTTAACTTTTTTCAATAAATTTTACTGAACTATCAGATTGCAGGTGAGCTTATTCATCAGAAAGCTGAAGTCTAAGCAGAGGCAGAAGCATTATCTATATTCTAGAATTCTTTGTTTTACTTCCAAAGAAAATGAAATTCAAAAATGAGTGTACAAATGCTAAGTGAAAATTATAGACCCATGCCAAATATCTGAGGTTAAATAATATCTGAATTCTCCACTTTTCCCTTCTGCAAAGTATAGAGAAACATTCATTGCAATCTCTTTGGGTTCAAACTGAAGATGCTGAAAGCAGGTTTTTCTCTTAAAATTTCAGTGTTCATGGGAAGAACTGCTTGTTGGCTGTAAATCAAATAAATTCTGGCCCATCTGAGCTCAGGAGCACAGTCAGGTGAACACTCAGCTGCATCTGCACAGAACCACAGTCTCCAGGGGAGTCAAAAACCTGTGACACAATGTCCTTTCCATAATGCCTCTATTGCCCCCACATTCTGGAACTGACTTCTTTTCCAATATTCAAATTATGTTCAGAGGAAGAATTAATATTACTGCTTATAATAATTTCCTTTTTAGGATAGTCCATTGAATAGAATGGTATAGCTCTGTAATATTTTAGTACTTTTCCTAACTGTGCATAAATTACTGTTCACCTTTGGACTTTCCTCTTTGAATCTAAGATACAAATAAAGACATTTAACTTTTTTCAGGAAAATTATCGCAGTTGTTATTTGTGGTATAGCAGAAAAGACTGAAAGCTATAGCCAAAACAGTGTATCTCTTTCTGCTTGAAATTAATTTAGCAGTTATAACACATTCAAAGTTTCATCATTAAAGATGTTTTATCTGACAGAAATTATTTTTTTGCTTTTGAAGATTAATTTAATTTAAGGTCAAAAATGGAAAATTCATTGAAAAAAATGCTTGATTTTAATCATATGGTAGATGCAAGAAATTTCTTGCAGAAAGATA